ACCATTAATGTGGCACGATATTGTGAGACTTTAACAAAACTAAGGCATGCCATTCAAAACAAACGAAGAGGAATGCTCAGTAAAGGAATTGCGTTGCTCCATGACAATGCTCGGCCCCATACTGCTGGTGTCACTCAATCGTTAATTCGACAGTTTCATTGGGAGCAGTTCGATCACCCGCCGTACAGCCCGGACTTGGTGCCGTCCGACTATCACTTATTCCTGCACATGAAGCGCGAGCTTGATGGCAAGCGCTTTGGATCTGATGATGACACGAAAAATGCTGTGGAGTCGTGGTTATCGAAACTGGCGGGAAGTTTCTTTGACGATGATATACAAAAACTGGTCACTCGCTATGACAAGTGTTTGATCATTGGCGGAAACTATGTTAAAAAATAGTTTAAGACATATATTTTCATGTAAAAATAAAATTGGATTTGAAAAAATTGTTTTACTTTTTTTTTTTTTTTTTTTCAAAATGGTACTTAGTTTCCGAATACGCCTCGTAGTTACAAATGTTGCATATCTTTGAGCTCTTTCTGTTAGTGCAATTTTACAGTAGCCTCTAGACAAATCTAATAGGGTAATATATTTTGCTTTTGCTACAGTTTCGATACGTTCTTCAACATTAGGCAAAGGATAGTATTCAGTTTTAGTAACAGCATTGAGTTTACGATAATCAATACAAGGCCGAGGATCCTTTGATGAAGATTCTATCAAAATCATGGGAGATGTATAGTCCGATTTTCCCGGCTCTATAATTTTAAGATCAAGCATTTTCTGGATTTCCTTTTTGAGAATTTCAGTCTGTCGGGGGTGACTCCTAGACCAGTCACCCATTCTTTGCAATAATTTTCTATTTCATAATTGAAATCCACCCATGTGGATTCGGTACTCTTTTGATGCTTCATAAATTTCTGCCTAAACTTTTCCGGGCTTAGTTTAAACCATCTTAACAATAAATTCCTCATGTGTTCATAGTCTTTAGCTTTATCGGAGGGTTCTCTAGCTATTAACTGGGTTTCTTCGTAAGGAAGTAGTCCAGTAAATGATATACAAATTCTTCTTTATCAATTTGAGTCCATTCTGCTTGCCTTTCAAACAATAGCAAATATAGACTGATATCTCCTTTCTTGTCATCGAATTTCTGCATAAGGTGATGTAGCTCCGTTTTCGGCCGGATCTGTCCGGTATTTTGAGACTCTGTCTCTGCTTCAAGTCTTAATCTCTCTAATTCATACTGTTCTTTCCTTTTCCACTCTTCCGCGTCTTCCTGTCTTCTATGTTCTTCTCTTTTATCCCTCTCTTTCTGTTCTTCTATTATTGTGTCCAAGACGCCTTTGACGAATACTTCATCATAATCTCTACTTTCAACAATTTTCTGTTTTAAATCAACTACAGTCAAAAGTCGTTAATTCGGACACCCATAATTCGGAATGATCTATAATCCGGACCTCAAAGCTAAAAACTTTCTGCGCATGCTCCGCGTTGACACATGCGCATAGGCGTTTACGCATGCGCGTAAGACCTCTTACGACTGCGCATTTGCGTGTGCGCAAGCGCAGAATACGTTTTCACGTGCGCGTTTTATGTATAACGGACGGTGTAAGCTAAAAATTATCTAATTATCTATTTCAGTTAATGTTGATGATTGCGTTGTTCCTTAATTTTCGAATTGGATCCGGCTTATTATTTTTTGCAGACTGTAAGAGCAATACTAAAAAAGTAAACTTGAAATTTCGATTATGTCAAATAGAATTTTTGATTCTGAAGCTCCTAAAGGATCGTACAAAACGAAAGTATGTTTCGATGTCCATCAAACAAAAAGTGGAATTGCTGCAAAAAATGGATAAAGACATGAAGAATGTGACAGAGAGGTTAGTGAAAACGAAAAAATTTCGATTGACAAGTTAGTCGGTATTCTCGGCACAGCAATTAACGGGACTTGAACAGCGGAACTTTGTAAGTGAACAAAAAATTATGTCTGTTTATAGAATTAAAGAGAAAGTATTATCACATAAATCAACTTACATTGAAAGAAATGTTTAATAAAGTAAACAAATAAATATTAAGCTTTTTTTTTTTTTTTGTAAATTTTGATACCCTTTAGATCATAATTGTTCCTTATTTCATAAATTACGGTTTCATATTTTTAATTTTAGAATTTCTGCATGCCATCTTACGCGATTTAAACTGATGATCTATAATCCGGAAAAATCGATAATCCGGAATCGCCGAAGTCCCGACGAGTCCGGATTAACGACTTTTAACTGTATTTTCAAATCTGCAGTCACATGAACTCCCAGTTCATCAGCGAGATTTTGCAAATCTTCCTTACGAGCTCTTCCTAAGTAAGACATTGTTTCTATGTTTAAAAATAACGAACACTGTGTTCTTTGTACTTCCTCAAAATAGCTCAATTCAATTACTTTAATTAATTAATGCAGTCAAGAATCACGGAATTAAATGCACTCTGTTAAATATGTATACCTCAAGAATGAAATATTTAAATTATATGAAGTTCATTCTTTCTACCACATTAATTGTGACTAAAATAAGAATAACAACATAGAGCAATATATATATCTACTGTCTGGACAACTAAAATGAATATTAAAAATAATATCCAATACGGTAATAAAATATGACAATTCAATATTAACAGGAAGTAATAATCTGGTATCGCTAATATTGCGTTCAGTGATGAACTAATAAAATAAAGCAATTCAATATTAACAGGAAGTAATAATCTGGTATCTCTAATATTATGTTTAGTGATGAACTAATAAAATAAAAATATGCACGATTATTCGATCTCAGTCGGTGACTCCAAAATAATTATGACTGTGATTCTTTGGCGATATGCAACTCCAGTCATGGAACACAGCAATAACTTCTATTTAACACTCAAAAATGGTGACATACAAACAAGAAGAAAAAATAATTCTAACATTTAAAAATACGAGGGCCATCCAGGAAGTAGATTACGTTTCCGTCTGTGTCCGCTAGGGGCGGGGCTAGCGCGGCCATCTTGGGGTCAGAGCGTTGCGCAGGTCAGTCTGCATCTAGCCGTGCTAGTGAGAGGTTCGTGCTGTGCTCCGTTCAGATACTGTGACGGTTTGAAATGTCTGCGTTAATTGAAAATCCTGCGAGGTGCGCTCAGTAACAAGGTTTCTGACTGCAAAAAACTGTAAACCGATAGAAATCTATCGGCAGCTTCGTGAAGTGTATGGGGACAACATTATCACTGAAGGTGGAGTGCGTCAGTGGGTCATAAGATTTCAAAATGGCCGAACCAATGTTCACGACGAAGATCGAAGTGGGAGACCCAGCATAGTGACCGCCGAACTTCTCGAAAAAGTCGATGCTAAAGTCCGTGAAAATCGAAATTTCACAATAACCGAACTTTCTTTGAGTTTTCCACAAATTTCGCGAAGTTTGTTGCACGAAATCATCAGCGAAAAGCTTGGTTACCACAAGTTTTGTGCAAGATGGATTCCAAAAATCTTGACAGAGGACCACAAAAATCAGCGAATGGGTGCAGCGTTGAACTTTTTAGACGCTTACCATAAGGATGGTGACTCTTTACTCGATCGCATCGTTACTGGTGACGAAACATGGGTGAAACATGTGAACTGTGAAACGAAATTGCAATCAATGCAGTGGGGGCACACAAGTTCTCCCCAAAAACCCAAGAAATGCATGCAAACAATGTCGGCAAGGAAGATGATGGCGACTGTTTTTTGGGACAGAAAAGGTGTAATTTTGGTGGACTTCCTGGAAAGAGGCACTACAATAAACTCTCAAAGTTATTGCCAAACTCTCCAAAAACTCAGAAGAGCAATTCAAAACAAGCGCAGAGGAATGTTGAGCTCTAAGATCTTGTTGATTCACGACAACGCCCGGCCCCACACGGCAAATGTCACTCGTAAAGTTCTTGAATCTTTTAAGTGGGAGTTGTTTCCTCATCCGCCGTACAGTCCCGACCTGGCACCGAGCGACTTCCACCTATTCCCAGCAATGAAGAAGTGGCTGGCTATGCAGCGTTTTGATGACGACGCACAGCTGCAAGAAGAGGTAACGAAGTGGTTGAAGGCGCAGGCGGCCGAATTTTTCGACGAAGGAATTTCCAAGCTCGTACATCGCTACGATAAATGCCTTAATTTGTATGGTGACTATGTAGAAAAGTAGTATTTGAGTGTGGCTTTCATCTGTATATAATAAAATTTGTTTCCTATAGTTTGTTTATTTTTTTATTCCAAAACGTAATCTACTTTCTGGATAGCCCTTGTAAATTACATTCTTCGTGCGAAAGTCGCACGTGACATTCGAGTCTGGTTTCAAATATTGCCATTCACAAATACCTTAATGTTCATCTATTTAAATTATTTAAACTACAAGATTTTAATACTATTTAAAGCTGTTACAATGCTAATGGTCATGACTGTTCCAAAAAGATAGTACACTATGTGTTTGAAATGAAATATTTTCGCATGCTCCAGCCTTTCCTGACTGGGCATGCACTATGTAAATTTATTCACTTTTTAACGAGGAAAATACATTATGAAGGATCATGATAAACCCCTGATAATTATACCATATACTAATCTTGCACATAACTTAGAAGAAATAAGACAACTTAGACATAGAAGAAACCATCATTTATAACATCAAATAGAAAAGTGTTATGCTAAATTCAGAGATAGCTAATTTAGATATATTTTTTAAAAAGAAATAGACAATTTTTTCAGAGGCTATCCATTTCTTAAGTAATGACGGCCACATAAGAATAAAACTAACCTAGGCATTTCTTGCAGCCTTGATAAATTCAAACCTGGTCTTTATTTGAAATTTTAAACTTTAAATTAAGATTTTGTGCTTAAATGAAAGAAATGTTTTTATTTAGCATGATATAGTTTGTTTATCTTGAAATTTGATATTCCTAAAACTTAAAATTCTGTGCTACAAAGAAAAAGATGGAAATAAATGCATATTCTTACGTATGCTCTCTTTCCAAATCAGCATGCTGCTGCACATGAATATTTGGGGTTGATTCTATGCTTTTCTCAAGGGGTGACAACAAATCTTCCAATTCAGATTGTTGAGCAAGAATAAAATCTAATTCAAGATCTAATCTTTGTTGATCAAGCTTGACTCTTTCAACAGCATCATTTAATACAGTGATCTAAATTCAAAATGAGATTTCATTATTGAATACATATATAAATATACAAATTTAAACAAATTTAAATTTTAACAAACATGTATATATGTGAAAAGGAAATTTAAAGTTAAATTTAAAAAATCTGCAAACATATAAAAGATTTAATTTTCGAACTAATCTACAATATCATTTAAATTCAGATAGCATAAGTAAATAAAGTGCAAAAACCAAACCATGAAAATAAATTCACCAATTTAGCAAATTAAAATTAATCTAAAAAAATTTTTTTAAATGTATAAGTGAATGACTGTTGAGCAGGCAGGAGACAGACTTATCAAGGGGAAGTTGCCCCCAAACCTAACTCTCCAATCATTCAATTTATGTTTTGTCAATCATGCAGGCAAGGGTAAAAGTCAAAACCTAAAGTAAAGAGTGAATAATGTCCAAAAAGAAATACCAATTAAGTGGTACCTTTAGAAATTAGCAATTAAAAATTAAAGTTCTAAAAGGAAAAATACCAATGAAGCCTTTTGAGAAATAAGCAATGTCAGTATTAATTAAGTCAAGTATTAAATTAAACTGTTTTAAAAAAATTAAATTTTTTATAATTCAGAAACCAATCTATTTTAGAAACCCTTGTCTACAGAAACCTTTCCGACACGAATATGCATATCAATAAAAAGAAACTGTGTCGGGGAGGTTTCTGTAGACAAGGGTTTCTAAGAATTCCTTCAAGAACTCAGAAAGTACACAAAATAGCTCTGGAAAATGTGTATGAAGAAACAAAGAATGAAGTTATTGATGGTGTATTACAGAAATGGTTCGTGCAAAAATGATAAAGAATCACACATCCGAGAGTCCGATTTTGTAAAAAACAGAAGAGCACACAAGAAAGTCAACAGAAAGACGAATTATTGCCCAATGGCAGATGGCTTTCATAATACAAAAAGCCTTAAGAAATTTATCACCTAGGTGTACATGGCAAAAAATTAGATGGCTTTCACAATGCAAAAAATTCCAAGAAAATTTCTTTAACCCTTTCGAGACTGTGCACCTTTAAGATGGATGGGAGTTGAAATAGAACAAAAATCACAGGGAAAAAAAAGAAAGGTTTCAGATTTTAAATTACATCCAAAGGGGCTTTTTTTTTTTTTAACATTTTGTGTGTTACCTTTATTTATTAAATCTCATGTTCTTTGCACTTAAACCATAAAATTCATTTCAACAGCAATATCGCAAAATAATTTTAAAATGAGCATATCTTAAGAATTTCTGAAACACAGTCTCGCACACTGGTAATTAAAAAAAAGCCAAATCCAGTGCTCCAAAATGAAAATTTTGATGCCTTACCAACTTACCGTAAAGCCCATAAGTCAGAATGGACAACTTTTTTTTAATCCCAAAAATGGATTTTAAATAATTAAACTGCAAAGGCTCACAAGATGCCTTTAAAAAGTATTTTTTAATCTGCTACATAACTTAAAGTAACTTAGTATTATTTTTTATGCTTTTCCAGTTTACTTATTCATTTATTTATGTGATCTAAAGACCAGTTCCAAAGAAAGAAACTTAGCCAGGAATCTCTCACATCACATAATTAGAAATAACATGAATTTTATATATATTTTGATCCAATTATTTGATAGTTACAAACATTCTTTTAGAGCAATGTTAAACAACTGAAATGACCTTAATGACTCTATATTTCAAACAATTATTAAGCCAATAAACATTTTGAAATAGCATTAATATGTATTGTTATTATTCCTGGCCAGGTTAAAAAAAAAAAAAAAGAAGGTATCCTTGGCCGAGGGTGTCCGCCTATAACATCGCGAACGAAAACGTCGCGGAGAAAACACCACAAGGCGAAAACGTCGTGCTACAAAACATCGTGGGAGAAAACATCGCAAAGAGAAAACATCGCAGTTCTAAAACATTCTGCTACAAAACATCGCCATCGAAAATAAAGCGGTTAAAAAACTTCGCAGTTTAAAAACATCGTCATCGAAATATCGTGGTAAAAAATAAAGTATCTACAAATCATCGCATGACGATAACTTCGCAGACATGCTTTTATCAGGTTTTAATTATTGTAAATGGATATTCCCACAATGATTTGTGAGCGCAGTATGTAAAGAAGGGTAATTTTTATTTTCACATATTTTATTAACTAATAAATGTTTGCTGAAAAAGTAAGAATGAAACTTAAGCATAGAAAATTAATGCAACTTATAGCACTTAATAGAATTTTAAACCGACATAGTTAACTAACAAAGGCCATTAATAAATAATTTTTATAAAGTTTTTACTGGTAATTTTTCATGAAAAGTATAATCTATAATTTGCATTTAATTTTTTATGCTTAAGTTTCCTTCTTACTTTTTCAGCAAACATTTATTAGTTAATAAAATATGTGAAAATAAAAATTATCCTTCTTTCCATCTTGCGATCACAAATCAATATGGGAATATCCATTTACAGTTATTAAAGCCTGAAAGAAGCATGTCTGCGATGTTATCGTCATGCGATGATTTGTAGATACTTTATTTTTTACCCCGATATTTTTAAACTGCGAAGTTTTTTAACCGCTTTATTTTCGACGGCGATATTTTGTAGCACAATGTTTTAGAACTGCGATATTTTCTCGTTGCGATGTTTTCTCCCATGATGTTTTGTAGCACGACGTTTTTGCCTTGCGTTGTTTTCTCCGCGACGTTTTCGTCCGCAATGTTTTTGCCGTGATGTTTTCGGCTGTAACCTTGGCCGAGTTGCTTGGGCATTTTACTTGGACAGCCCAAATTTGCCAAGCTGCATCTCAGTTTTAAAATAGAACCCCCTCAAGCCAAAACTCAAATTACCCACCTCTTTTCCTACCTCATACCTCTCCACGGGCTTTCAGCTTAACAATATTTTAATGCTCCCATGATGCAAGGATACCATGCATTTATATACATCTACACCTTTTGGATCTGAAACCTGACTCAATATGGCAGTTGACATCAGTTAACTTCCATATTCAATTAGGACAACATTGATAGGCTCTATTCTTATATGAGCCTTAAGATCACGAAATGTGGCGATATGTGTTCTGTGCTGGTTTTTGGCACGACTGCATGTTTTATGGCAACCCTTCTGATGTTGAATACTTTTTGCTGGAGTGTTTTAATTGCTCGTTGGTTCGTGTCGTGCATGTTTTGAAATGGCCTATGTTGCAATGAGACACATGGTTGCAAGAGGGTCTGAGAGATTATTTTTAGTGGCTGTGCATGATAGAAGTAAGGAAATGCTGATGCAGTGTATTAAAGAATGGATTGAGCCTTGTATAATTATTTTTACAGATGGTTTGAAATCTTGCAAGGATTTAGGAAAAGAGAAGGTTTTCAACATTTATTTGTGAACCATAGTATGAATTTTCTGGATAGTGTGTCTGGCTGTCATATAAATACGATGCTAATTATGTGGTGACATGAAATTGGTATTTCTGCTGTTCAAAAAAGCATTCATCCATGGTAAGTGCATTTTAATTTATTCTTGTTCTTATTTTGTAGAATGTTATGTTCATTGTTTTTTTAGTATGAATTTCTGTCGTTATTGCTGTTTTTTTGAATTGTTTGAAATTTATTTTAGTTATTTTAGTTTATTTTGTTGATTAGTGCATAGTGCCTAGATTGTGCAATTCATAGATGTTTTTTAAAGTTGAAACAGAATGCTATGTACATGGTATTCTTTGAAATTTTTTGTTGTTATGTTAATTTATTAAAGCGAGGTGCATATAAAAGTAGTTCCCATATTTAAAGCATGAAAGAAGTTCTCGATGATAACTATTTTACATAATAATATCTTTTGTAAGACTTTAAAAGACAAGTAATCAATTATATGACCAAAAAATAAATTTCTGAAAAGTAAAAAATAACTACAGTTGTTATCAATGATACATATGTTTAAATGTATGCAAATACATATTTATATTTTAAAAGCTTAAATAATAAAAATAAGAAACGGTATACACTTTAAAAATGCAATTTCATCATCAATTCAATATCTACTCCCAAACTCCTAATTCCAAATTGGTATCATTTGAAGTGTTCTGAAGTGACTTTAATAGAAAACTCTCCTCTACTGTGTCCTGATGAAAATTTAAAAAATGCCTGATGCATGTATTAATTCAATACAACATGCAACCTTTAAGCTTGCATTAATTCAATTTTTGAGCCTTAGTCCACTGAGTAAGTTTGGAGTTTTATTGCATCTCTTAACTCCAAGCATATAAAGAAATGTAACATTTAAATCTAGGGTGATTAAATACCTTTGAAAATGAGTCTGCAATTCACATTTAAAGGAAACTTTTGGTGGTACATTTGAAACTGCTAGAGTTACATAATTTGTATACATTTTTATCACTCTACAACAGCAATAAAAATTTTCCTTTCCTTCTACTTACTAATTTAAGAAATAATACACAAACGAAACAATATGTAAAATTTGCTATGCATATATAAAATTTGCTATGCATATATTAAAATTACACACATTAATGAAAAACAATTCTGAATTCATTGTTTATGGATATCTTGATTAAAATTCCAATTTATTACAAACCATAAAGTTAAATTAATCTTATTCTGATAATTCTACATAAAAAGAAGATTTTGACTTTAAATAATGGTGATCCTCTCTTTCCTCAAGATGAAAAAGAGGACTGTCAAGGAAGCATATTTACTCAGCTAATCAGTGTAATAAAAATAAATGTTAGGTCTGATTTCCCCTTATTACACAGTTTACATATATTTTGTTTTTGCAATTTCAAATATTATGTATTACTTTTAAAATGCTGATTATGCTAATATTTTGCTTCTATAAACATTAATGATCAGAGAATGATATATTATATGAATTAAAAAAAAACTTTTGCTAGGGAGAGGGGGGCTGAACACTGGAAAAAATCACAAGCTTCAGGATTTAAAAGAAAGGTTCATGTTTAATATCTATGCACATATTTTTACCTTTTCTCCATTAGAAATTAATAGTTTATCCCAAGCATTAACTTGAGTAGCTTGATTCAAAAACACTTTTTCTTGTTCTTCCAATTCAATTTTCCATTTGTTAATTGTATCCTCAAGCTGTCTAAAATTTATAGTAGCAGGAGAAGCTGTACTTGGAGTTCTAAAAATACAAAGAAAAGTAAAAAGCATTTTAGTAACATAGTAAAACAATACATTTAAACGATTTAATATTTTTATTAACATTAAACAATACATTTTTTAACTATACACGTATATACACACACATATAACACTTCAGTAATTCACACAATTTTAAAATTCCATGCATGCTCTGAAAAATGAATAAGCAGAGCTATGAGATTTTTTGAAAATACACACATGAAAAATCAGCCATGCTCTCAGGAGATCTCCAGATCATCCAAATGCCTGCCAAATGTGTAACCAATTACAGCATGAGAACATACAGCTGGAAAAGTCTTTTTATGTTCTCAGCATGAGAACATACAGTTGGAAAAGTCTTTTTATATTCTCACTAATTTAAAAGGCAACAAGACCCAACAGCCAGATACAAGTTAGGACAAATTATAGTCCCCCCCCCACCTCCAGAGCAGGAATTACGAAAAATCAGATACGCGTTTGGCAGGATTTCAACTTTGATTCATCTGACTGCTGGCTGAACATACTACCAAATGTACCATAAGAACATGCCAGTGGAAATGAAAAAATCCAGTAATGTGGAAGCTTTGGCAACAGAAAAGGGCAATGATGTAATTCGAACTTGAAAGTGTGATTTGTTGCAAATGTTATGAACATCTACAAAAACGAATTTGACTATGGTAAACAATAAATTGGTCCTTCATTCAATATCTGTTTAATGCAAGTTATTTCATATGACTTTGCATTTATTATAGTTCTGAAATATACTGCGACTTAAAAAAACTAAAACTATAAGTACTGCTAAAAAATTTTCTTTCATGTTAGTACAAGCAATTTATTAAAAAATAGCAACATGTATAAACATGCCAGATAATTCAATTTACTATTAAACATACCTGAAAAATCTATTTATTATTTTATTTAATCCAATTTTGTCAGCAATTTGTTAATAAATATACAGTGACTCAAATTTGCTTTCAGACAATAGTATTTTTCAAATTTATTTGCATAGATCTTGTACTAAATATTAAAACATAGACTCCACATTTTTCCCCTAATGCATTATTTATTCTCTTTTTAAGACTGGCTTGTTGAAAATCAATATGATCAAAATATTCCTTGTAATTAAATAATTTATTCAAAATGTATTAGTCAGTAATTCAGATAATTGAAACTTCTGTTGAGATGTTTGGACATATGAAGTTCTTTGACATAATTTTTGTTTTAAGTAAAAATACATTACAAAAATTATTGTCTGCATTTGAAAACTATTACTTGTTTAGGAAAATATATTAACAGTTCCATATCTGATGTGAGAATGGCAAGAAACTTCAAATTAACAAATTCTATTAGAAAATTTAACTAATTATCATTGTTAGGATGGTAACCTAACAGGCGTTCAACTACTTTATACCCTCTGATCGCAAAGCCAGAATATATTTGCGATGCCTGTAAGATCATATATATATGTAAGATATAACAAAATATGATAGCTGTTTCAAAATATAATTGACGACCTCAAAATTAACATTCTAAATTTGGTAATCTGCCCTTAAATTCATCTCTTCTCAACGTTCCAGACTTTTCTATCTTATGTAACGTTTTAATGCAGATGCCCCTCGTCCAATCAAATTAATTCTAAACCAAAACTGTGAACTGAAACTTCAGCCTTCTTGCTATGAAAATACTATAACCTTTCCCTTTTTCCGGCGTTAGCTGTCCTGCTGGTAAGACGTTTTCATCTATGCTGCTGCCACTTACTTGCTTAAGATGATGTCGTACTTCAAAATGGGAGTTATTCTATTCAAATATTATGAAGAAATATCTTATCTGAAAAAGGATTATTTGATATGCATGGAAAAAATAAAGATTGTGATTTTTCAAGATATGTTGTGCTAAATTGCGTCATCATGCTTTTCACTCTGCCACCTTCAAACCACAGTTTCATTACAATAATATGGCGCAGCCGATTTTCGACCCTACAGGCGTGGAACGTCAGTGCAGTTTATTTCAACAAATCTCACATTGTTTAACGAATGAATAAAATAAAAAAGGTAACTATTCATTTGAATTCCCAATCAAGCCACTACGGTCTTCTCGGTCATCTACGCAGTATTGTAAGCTGTTGGGAGGTCCACTGCTTTCATCTACGCATTTGGAATCATTACATATTTATAAAAAGTCAGGACAGGATTAACCTGGTGCAAGTTTTCCCGAAATGGATTTCGAACTCTGCTGCCTCAAACTTCCAGTGAATCACCAAATTCACTTCCGGTGTGTGATTTAACGGCATATTTTAAAAGTGCTTTGAAATCATCGAGTATCTGCGAGTTCAAAAGTGAAAAGTATTTCGAATCAAGGTCAGTGTCGCTAACGTAGTAAAACATGGTTAATCTTCCTTGCTCGCTCCGAATATTCACAATGTTTATGCATCTCCGATCATTGCGTAAAAACAAAATTAAACATCCAAAGTGCTTTGAAGGTCATCAACCTCATTAGTGAAATAAGAAATGCTAAATGGGATTTTATGCTCTCTTGCATGTTCAGCACTTTATTCGTCTAATTCTTCCTATTAAAAAAAAATGCAATACTATCAAAAGTCATGAAATGTGATCTGAAGTGATATTAAGTTCCAAATTGAGTTTATTTCATTTCGGAAAAGGAAAAAAAAAAGTTGCATTTTTAAGTTATTGTTTTATGATTTATTAATGATCTCAGTATTAAATCATACTGAGATCAAAGTTAATAATTTAAAAACTTTATCATTTATTTAAAATGTAGTTTTGCATTTGTGAATTGGAAAATAAAAATTATTGAATTTGATAAAAATTAGGTAAAGAATTTGAAGGTTTGACTTAGGGAAGGTTCCTAATGTGAATAAGATTTTTGTACTATTGTTTAAATTTCTATGAATTTATATTTTTTAATTTTTACTGTATGTTAAGAATGAAAGTATTGTTTTTGTAGGAATTTCTTTAATGTTTTTATGATAAACGTTGAAGGCTCTCACCTTATGAAAAAAATACATTTTTTTAATCTAAGTATTTTTATTTTTTCATAAAATGGAGTGTGTTTTTAATATTCGTATGGAATGACAGCAGTTCGAAAAAGGCCAGTTGCCTCTACAGAAGGAACGGACGTCTTTTCTACAATAACTGCTAATTTGGCAAATCTTTTGGCCACTGGTGAAGAATATTAAACACTAGTTTGCTCAACTGATAAACCAATATGATGGAAATGCTAGTATTTAGATAAAGTTGTGGAGTCTTCAAGTTTTGTAAAGAATACGTAAATTTTAAATGTCTTAATAATAGTGAAAAATTTGAAATTGTGTTTATGAATCGTGATTTACAAAATTTTTATATTTTAAAATGCCTTCCTTGAAAAACATAATTAAATAATATGAAAATTGGCATCTTAATTTGTAATACAATAGAAGCATTTTCATGAACAAAAATTTTAAAGAATTTTATCTGAACATTTAGTTTGTGAAAAAATTTGAACTTTTACCGTGTGGAACTATCAAGAACTTTACAAATTTTCATTGGACATTCTTATCTCAGAACACTAAAATGTGCAATTGTTTTTAAAAGAGTACAGTGTCTAAAATTACTATTGAATTCAAAATTTTATGACTTTCAATGTATTTCAATGTATATGACTTTCAATGAATATCGGTCAAAGTTTTATGGCGATAATTTTTTGTTTCAAAAAAAAGTAAATATGTTTTGTATTTTCACAATTATAAGTGTAACATTTTGCTGTTATAATGCTTTTTCTTCCACTCTGCTCACACAACCTTTCTTTTGAAGGGGGGATATGTAAGATATAACAAAATATGATAGCTGTTTCAGAATATAATTGACGACCTCAAAATTAACATTCTAAATTTGGTAATCTGCCCTTAAATTCATCTCTTCTCAAAGGTTAAAAGACTTTTCTATCTTATGTAACGTTTTAATGTAGATGCCTCTCGTCCAATCAAATTCATTCTAAACCAAAACTGTGAACTGAAACTTCAGCCTTCTTGCTACGAAAGTACTATAACCTTTCCCTTTTTCCCGCATTAGCTGTCCTGCTGGTAAGACGCTTTTCATCTATGCTGCTGCCACTTACTTGCTTAAGATGACGTCGTACTTCAAAATGGGAGTTATTCTATTCAAATATTATGAAGAAATATCTTGTCTGAAAAAGGATTATTTGATATGCATGGAAAAAATAAAGATTGTGATTTTTCAAGATATGTTGTGCTAAATTGCGTCATCATGCTTTCCACTCTGCACCTTCAAACCACAGTTTCATTACATATATATATACATTTTAAAATATGTCCAAGAAATTAAGGCAATATATTAAAAGTACATAAATCCAGGTATAAAATAGCAGGAGCCTTTTGACATTAAAAATCAAGAAAATAATTCTTTCTCATGGTACTTTTGGGAGCTTCGCACTTTCTCATTGAAAACCCAGACTAGTCAGAGGGTTAATGTTATAAAGTGATGGAAATTTAATGGAACTGGTGAAAATGCACTTCCAAGTTCTTCGAAGCTAATATGAAGGAGGTCTAATTTATTCTAAGAAGAATCAAATAGAACCCAAATATTAATGCTGTGAAACTTACAGCAGATTTGCAACAATAGTTTGCAATAAAAGTTAACCTTGAAACTGTTAGAAGTATCATTATAACACTTACAAGAATACAAGCAAAATATGCCTATCATTCACAAAATCTATTGTAACCAAAGATTTGTCATACTAAAACAAGGATGTGAAACTCGCGGCCCGCGGGCTGCCCACAACAAATATATTTGTGGCCCGGCCAATATATTGGCAAATAATAATATATAATAATAAACACATCGACGAAGAAAAAAATGAAATGTTTACTGCTAAGAAATTAATGATAATTTATTCAGTGTTGCTAGATTACTCACAGCGAGCTGACACACACACTACTTAAATTACAAATGCGTGCGAGTAGCTTGCGTTCAGCTACCTTCGGCT